ATTATGACATTATCATAATTGATATATCTTTCATTCAATATCGTGTTTTGTTTTATTTTCCAATTATCTTTATTTAATATCACATGTGTTTCATATAACATTTCATTTATTCTAAAGTAATATCGTTATTTTTGTATATTTCATTGTTTTGTCTTTCTTCCTTATTTTAATTTTCTTATTAGAATCAAACATTATTTTATTTGTATTGATTCTGACCCTTTCTTCTTTATTAAATTTAATTCTTTCTTTATCATTGTCATCATATATTTTAGGTATTTTATTCTTTCTAGTGATTTGACTTTTATTCCTTCTTCATCATGTTCATTTAATTTCATGATGCACTTTATTCTGTACCATTTCCTTCCCTTGACCAAATCTTCTAGTCTATTAATTTTCTTTATATTTCTTTTATTTCATCAAATTTATCTCCTATTATTTATTTTGGAGATAAAGGTGCATACACATTGAAATATTATTCATATCATCTTGCAGATCCTGCATTCTGCTTCCTGACCATACCCATCTATTATTAATTTCCATTATTAATCGGTCAGCTTCTTTTCTTTGAAAGTAGTAATTAATGTTTGAACATTTTTCTACTTTCATTTATTTTATTTTATTGATGAGAGTGTTAAGGTATTCTTCATCAATTTCAGTAAAGTTATTCTTTAATATGTTGTTTTTTATTATTGAATCACACTCTACTCTTCTATTATATCATTTACTTTCACTTTAATGTATTGTTTAGTATTTTCTTTTATTTTATATGACATTTTATTATATTTAATATATTCATTTTCATTATTTACATTGATGTTTATTACTTTTATTATATTTTCTATTTGTTCCAATCTTAATTTCTTATATAATTTCTTATTTAACCAATTAATTCAAAACAATACAACACTTCAATTAAAATTCTATTTCTTTCTTTTGTTGTACTTCTTGTATTTTCATTGTACTTTGTTTGTTATTTCTTATTCTTGTAATTTTACATCTATCATTTATTTCTTTATTTGGGTTTTTGTTTTTAATTTCTTCTTCATTTGTTTTAATGTTTTTTCTTCAATGTCTTTTGTATTTTCTTTAATTTCTTCTTTCGTTTTTTCAATTATCTTCTTCTTTTTAATTGAATATACTTCTTAAAGAATATCATACTGTCTTTTTCTTTTATCTTCTTACTTCTTTAGTATTTCTTCATACTCCCATTTATTCCATTCACTTCTTATTCTTTTTATTCTTTTTTTGTACATCATTTATTGTTATTTGTATAATATTTATTATTATTGTATTTATCTTGTTTTTTATTTATTTTTCTTTGTGTCTTTCTTCTTCTAATCCCCCTTTTCTTGATATTTCATTAATCATTACTATTGTTGTTATGCCATTTATTGTTATTGATATTTCTTTTTTTATTGTATGACATTGGATTTTTATGTCTTGTTTGCTTTTCTTCACAATACCTCAAGGTTTTACACAATAACCATGGCATTAAAATTTGTTGTATTTACTGCATTGGAAAGGGATTTTTAAATAGCAATAATTTCAAAAAATATAAAATAGATAATTAAGTGTTAATAGTATTGTTATTTATTCATTAATTAATTGAGATTAATCAAATCACATATCATTAAAATGAATAATTTATTTGTTTTATTTATTATTTAGATTTTCTTCTTGTTTTTGTGAATAACCCATTTTGTTTTATTGCTTTTTATTGTATTGTCTTTTCTTTATTCTTTGGCTTATTTCTTCTTTTTATCTTCATATTTTATTTTTATTTTAATGAATTTAATATTTCTTTATTTTCTTATTTTATAATGAATGAATTTTAAATAGATAATAGAATAATTAATCTTCTATAATTCTTCTTTGTTAATTGGTAATGAACTGTTAATGAAAAGAAAGTTTTTGAAACAAAGGAAATATCAGAAAGTCTTTGGTATGTCTTAATTTAATTCTAAATCATAGTAATAATTATTGTCTCTTATATAATAATCTTTTAAACAATATTTGAATAAAGTTATTCATAACAAACAATATCAATTCCATTTCAAAGACATTATTATATATTCTTATTTTCAAAAGAATGAGGTATAATGAATTATAGTCTTATTTGAATTTATAAAAATTTTTAATTACATAAATATTTCGTAAACTAAAAATTAACATCATTCAAAAAAAGAAGAGATTTAAAAATGAAAAGAAATGAAAGAATAAATAGAGGAAAGTTGAAGAATTTTAAGACATTTGTTTGAAATGAAGAAGACGTTGTTTAACAATTTGGATTTCTGTATCAAGTTCTTCTATTCTTTTGTTTCTAAGAATAAGGATAATTGACTTTAATAAAGAACATTCAGGTGGAACTTTATCCAAATACTTCTTTTCAATTACTGTCCACTGACTAAAACACTCATCTGGACTATATAATCTAACGTTAACATGGCTAAAATAAGACATTGTCTTTATTACTAACTCACTAACTAATCTCCATTCTCGATAGTCATGTGGAAAATAATAATCAATTGACTCTACCAGAACCAATTGCTCAACAACTGTCCACTCTCGCTCCACATACATTATCGTTTTGGTTCAGTAAGAATTGAAACTAATCTTTTTTCATTATTTTTAATTTTTTCTCAATCATGAATCTAAAGATAGAATAATCAATAAAAAAAATAGGGGAAAAGAACCAAATTTTCAGGAGATTAGAAAGGAGTTGAAAAGAATGAAGAAGATTGATTCTCATTCAAAGAGAGAAAAGAACGAAAAAGTTTTTTTTTTTTTGATTTGGAATTTTTTTTAAGGGTTAAGAAATGACAAAAAGAGAAAAAGAGTAAATAGAACTAAAATATCGTTAAATTTTTGAATTGTGAAAATGTCTGGAAAACCAAATCACAATCTTATCAAAAATGATACAGTAGGTGTTTGTGAATGGTCACATAATGAGCAAAATATCCTAGATGAAGAGTTATTAACGTGTGTTTCATTTTATTAATATGTTTTATTTGTATTAGTTTGAACTTTAACTCTAATTTTTTATAGACTACAACAACAAGGAAAAAAGGTTAATGATGTTGCATTAATTCTCAAAATTTCAAGTCGATTCCCAACAAAGTCAATTCAACAAATTACGAGTCGAATTAAATGGTGTCAAATTCCTTCTCATTCTGTTTGTTAATATTTAATTATATTTTGATTATAAGTATTGATAAAACGTATCAATTCTTTCTATCAACCACTTTTAAATTTTTAAATTATTCTTCAATAATTAATCAAAAAAGAAAGGCATATAATATTTATGTCATGATAAATTCATTTATATGAAAAAGAAAATAAAACAACTGTAATGAAATTTTTTTAGAAAATTTAAAGATACAAGACTTATTATCTTAGAAACCTTCTTGGGAAGATTATTGTCAAAATGAAAATTATTATTTACAACTACTTGAACAACAACCACAACAATGTTATAACTCAAGACCTCAAACAATCGCATCAACAAAAGATGTATGTCTTCCAACAACATCAACTCGGTCAGATAATAGTGATAATAGATTTAGAAGAAGAAGATACTCAATTCAAGGTGAAACATCTGAAGATATTTCACCAAGGATTCATAAACAAAGAACAAGAACAAATACATCTGGTGACATTGGTATACAAGGCATTCCACCAGCTCTAACACAACCAATTCATAAAAGTTCTACTAGTGCTATTATGATTGGTAGTTATAACTCTGCTCATTCTCCTAGAACTTATAGATCACATTCTCCTGTTATTTTCTCTGTACTACAATCTTCTATTACAAATACAATTAATTCATTAAACCAAATGTCCCAAGACAATGAATCAATATTAAATACTTTAGAAAATCAAGCTAAAACTTCTCCATCACAAATGGATGGTAATTTGGTTGTTCAGTTTGTAAACAATGCAAATTCAATTATTACTCAAACAAAAACATTATCATCTTCTATATTACCTTTCTATTCTCAAGTAATTGAATTACCAAATGAATTAAAATCTATTGTTTATCCAATAATACAGTCAGACATAGGATTACAATATATCCCAGAACCATTACCTCGAACCACTCAATCTAACACTCAAAGAGCAATGAGCTTACCTTGTAGTAATATATCTCCAATGTCATCTGTAAGTGGCTCTATTCATATTTCTCAATAACTTGTATGATTTCTTTTGTTCGTTTTTTTTTTATGATATTCTTTAACCAAAATGTTTTAACAAATGCCAATCACTTAAACAATAAAACAATTTTTTACTTTGTTGTATGTACTGGGTCAATTGTTTCTACTGAAAGTATTGAATTTCCTCGAATCATAATCATTCCAATTGGAATATGTTTATCAGTGTCTGGATTTGATGCATCATATGCTTCATCTAAAACTAAATTCATATATTCATCATAACCACTCAACACACCAATAATACTTCGTTTTCCATGTATTTTAACTAAAATTCTTTTTTCCAAATAATGTTTTAGTTCTGGTTTTGGCTTTTCCATAATTTATCTATTTTAAAGTTCTTTTTCTTGTTATTTTTTAAAAACGAAAGAAAAAAAAACAATCAAATCTCAATCATATCATTATATCAATAATCTAATCTCTCATTTAAACCTTATCTAAAAGCTTTCTTCTTATTTGTTATATCCATGGAAATGATGAAGTTTGTTTCTTCTCTTCTTGTTTTTGAAAAATCTATACCAATCACTTAGATCATCCTTTCCCTCTTTTTTAAACAACCAAACACTCCTAAAAACAAAGAAGTATATAATCTTCAGAATTATCATTATGAATTAGTCCAATCTCAAGTTTCAAATAGAATTATTGGAACTCCAACATCACACCTATTTGATTATAATATTGAACTTTTCATGAATTTACTAGAAAAACATCGTCAATTTATCCTTCAACTCCATATAAAATATTACTTAGACTCATGGATTTTACAATCAGTTTTGTTTGTTCGACATTTTTATCTTTCATCTTAATTATATAATGTATTAACTCATCCAATAAAGTGTATTATTATGCAATAACACTGCTGAAATTTGTGAAGAAAATAAGTTCACAGATAAAAATTTTTGTTCAACACTATTACTAGTTTGGGATTTTATCGAAGATGATTATAACATGGTTGAAGAAATACGTTTGTAACTATTTATCATTTTACATTTCTATTTTCTTATTGTCTTAACATATTAGTATCTTATTTTTCATCCATTTGTTATTCTTCCTCCAAAATTAGTAAATCCTCAAAACGTAAGAAGTTAGTTAGGTCAAAAACTATCTTCTTTGTAATGAATATAGGATGTAAACTTGACTTACCTTCAATACTTATTCCAAAACTGACAAGAGAATTAAATAAACACCACTTTTTTGGTGAAAGAGATAGTTATGACTGCCATGCACTTTCTATTACTCTCCTCAATTAACGAGTTTCTTTTAGTTGTTTCTTTCTTTCTTTTTCTCTCATTAATAGATTGAATCTTGGCATTATTATTTAAACTATTCTTAAACTATTTCACATTAACTATAATTAATAGTAAATTTTAAGAAAGAAAATAGTAAAAAGAAAAAGCCCTAAAAATGAGAGAAAAAACTGAAAAATTGACATCCCAGGCTGAAAATGCAATACATTGCTGCTTACATCCTTTGCACTATTGGACATGAACATGCTGAAGAAGCTAAGGTCAAAGAAATCCTCAGCGCTGCTGGTGCTGAAATTGACGAAGCTAAAATCAAAGAAGTTTTCGATGCCATGAACGGTAAGAACGTTTGGGAAGTTATTGAAGCTGGAAAGAAACAAATGGGATCAATGGCTGTTGCAGCCGCTGCCCCAGCTGCCACTACTGCACAAACTGAAACTAAAGCTGAAGAAAAGAAAGAAGAGAAAAAAGAAGAAGAAGAAGAGGAAGACTTCGGTGGATTTGGTGATCTTTTCTAAACAAAGAGTTTAAGTTGTTAAAGTATTTTTATGTTCTCTTTTTTGATGAGACTAACCTTGTAAACTACTATTATTTGTATGAATAAAAAAGGGTATTTAATAACCAAAATATTTTAATAGTCATGAGATGAATTACTTATAACCACAAAAATTGTTTTTTCTTTTCTTTAAGAAAGTCACTACCATTATATTCCCAAAACAAGTACAATATTTGTTTAAACATATTGTTAGCTATTCCCATCAACCAATTCTTTTCTTTTTAAAGAAATTAATTCATGGCTAGATAAATAATGGCTAATACATTCATAACACAATACTTAGTTAGTTTAAATGTTTACAATAAATACTATGACCAAACAAAACTATATACTTTTAACTATAATACAATATGAATATAAATGTTTCAATAATCTCTTTTAATAATTAAATAGAGTCTTTCTAATTAAAGTTAATTAATTAATTTATTAGCTTGGTTTTTGATTAAAATGATAAAAAGTTATAATAAGTGTTATCTTCGTTATGAAATAAAAACAAATTAAAATAAGAATCAAACTTTCTTTTTTAAACAACCTTTTCTTCTATTCAATGAATGAAATATTCATCTTTTCTTATTGATTTAATTTCTATTTTTATATTGTCTCATTAATAACAATTCATTTTATTGTGAGTTTTTCTTTTCTAAAAGTTGTACCTATTTTCTTTAATTCAAATGTTCATTGAGTAAATAAAGTTTTATTTTGTACATAACATAAGTATTATATCTACATTTCAAACAAATAACCATCAATTTGATTATATAGGTTAAGCGAGGTTTATTTTTTATTATCAAATTTCAACATTGTATTTTATGCCAATTGGTTCTAATGAAAGTGGACTTTTTATACACTGAGAGAAACTAACATTACAAACGGAAAGAGAAGAAAGTCCAAAATTTAATAAAATCTTTGGATGAAAATTAATACAACTAAATTAAGATGTTAAAGAAATGAAGATATAGAAAGAATAACAAATAAAATGAGAATAAGTTAAAGGTTTAAAAGAAAAAGAGAAATAATAAAGAAGTACATTTAAAATCCATAAAGAAAATAAAAGAATATGTCAATAAAAAGGAAGAATAATAATAAAACAATAATAGAGATATAATTTAATAGTTAAGAAGGAAGAAGTACAAAAGAACATGGAAATAAATAAGAGTTTAAAGAAGAATGACATATGTATTATGTTAAATATTACTACTATATTTAAAAAACTGGTATCAATAATTAAAAGAAAAAGGCATGAAAAAAGAAATGAAGGTATAGTAAATATTCAATAAATAGGTATAAAATGAATAAAAAATAAGAGAGTTGATACATTATACATATATTCACAATGATGATAATAAAATAATTATTAGACAATGAAATAATGAAATGTTATATATCCAAGAATAATCATTAATAATAAGAATAAGTGAATGAATTATGAATAAAATAAGAAGGTTATTTGAAAAGAGAGTTTTAGTAAGTATATGTTTAAATAGGTTAATGATTGGTATGAAGAATAAATAACAACATTATAATCATACATTGAATATGTTTATCTAATAAATAATGTCAGTGTGTTGAACGTTTATAATATTTTCAAAACAACAGAATGAAAGCAAAAGAGAAATGAAAAATGAAATGATTTTGAAATTAAATTTTCAAAAAGAATAAAAGTACAATATTATATTTTTATTCCAAACTACAATGTGATTATTTTTTATTCTGAAAATAGTAACAATTGAAACGAAAAACACAATCAAACAATTGAAATACTTTAAAATAAAAACAAATAATAACTATGAATTAAATTCATACTATTTCAATCACACAATAAATTGAATAAACTAAAATTATTATATTTATTGTTGAGGACTCTCTATTATATCAATTATCAATAAAATAACAGAGATAGAGATAAAGAATGTATTGAAATAAAAATTTCAATGATAACGAATTGTAGTTAGTAATTAAGAAGAATGACTTAAATCAATATATAAATATGAATTGTATTTTTTATAATAATAAGCAATTAATTAAGTATTAATAGGATTAGTTTCTATTGTTCTTGCATCACCGGAGACTAATCACAATGAGTCTTCTTCTAGCAACTCTACTGAGTATGTTTGATTGTGATCTCCGCAGTATTCCATGACATCAATCATGTTTTTAATTATAATGGTTTTAATTTCTTTCTCGATGTCAATTTCATTTTTTAATTATTTAATTAATTTGATACTTGAATTATTTATTAATCCATTTATTGAAATTACTACTGGATTTATTTTGTCATCTTTTAATTTTTCTATTTTCATTAGAACATTCTTTAATTCTTTACACTTATTTCTTTTATTCCAATAGGCTTAATTAATATTGTGATCAGCCACAATTGTCATATCAAATAATAGACCAGTTTTATTCTTTTTATCTAATACATATATGTCTGGTCTTTTGTGATATTGTCATTCACTTTTATGCATTATTTGTTTGTTCATTATCATTGTAATGTCTTTATATTTGAATATTGTTTCATATTATATTTTTTATATTGTTTGTTTCCTATATATTTTCTTATTAATCAATATTATTATGCCAATATTGTCATGTTTTTTCATTTGTGATTTTTTATTACCAATACAAGATAGTAAGATGTGTTCTACTATTGCTATCTTGTCTTTACAAAGTGTTGAGTATTTCAATCTTTCATTTTTCATTATTTTTGATTTTCTATACAATCTGAATATTGCTCCATCATGCATTTTAGTTAATTGGAGAAATTCATTTTCTTAATATTGATGGACTTCCATGCTTTCATTGTAGTAGTTTTATCTACTCTTTTTGACTCAAACCATCTTCTAAAGTGTCCATTTATTTGATGACACTTCTATTTTTTTGATGTATTTGTCATTAATTTTTTTATTTCTACTACTACTTCTTTTTCTTTTTTATTTTCAATAAATTCATTTATTATTTCTTCTATTTTTTTCATTTATTTTATGAATTAATGTTTTTTAATTCTATTCAATATTCCTTTCTTATTATACCATCTCTCTATTATGTTATTTCCTATTTCACTTTCTCTGGTACAATAACACTTTACTGTTCTAGTTATTCCATTAACATATTCATCATTTATGTTTATTAATCATTCACCCATTTCTTCTATAATGACATACAACCTATCTTTGGAGTTTCCGGCACCAATGTATTTTGCCTTTCTTAAATATTTTCTTATCTCCAAATCAATTTTATCTAGGTCAGTTATTTTCCAATTTACAACTGATGCTGAATATCTGAAGATATTGATTACTTCCGTGTTTATTCTAGTAATATATCTTCTATTACTGCTATCATCAGTGTTTATTTCTTCCATCTTCTGATTCATTTTTTCTTTGATAGATTTACAATTGAAGTATTATCAATTTCGTCGGACTGCCATATTCCTAAATATTTATACAAATCATCACCTTCAATTACGGGGATGTTCTGCATTCCATTTGGTATTTGTTTAATGTTTTTTAATACCAATCCTGACTTTTTCTCATTCATTTCAATATATAACTTATTATTTCTTTAATTTCATTGTGGATTATTCCCATTTCTTCACTACTTTCTGTCATTATTCTCAAATCATCCATATATAAAGTGTGATTTGATTTTGGGAATTTCTCTTCGATGATTTGAGAAATTACGTTCATCTGAATGATGAAGAGTAGATTTGATAAGGAATCACCTTGTAAAATTCCTCTATTTAATTTAATACATCCTAGATATTCATTATATTTATAGCCTATGAATATCTTCCATCTAGTCATCATACTTTCAATAATGTCAATGATGACAAACTCTACATTAAAATACTTTAATGATTCAATTACCCATTCGTGGTTTACAGTGTCATATGTTTTCTTAATGTCATAATATGACTCCACATATTTTGGGTATTTTTCTTCTTTTTGCTGCTTTAACATATAACTATTAATTATTCCTTCTTTAGCAGCTAAAGATTGTAACTTACATCTCAATTGGTTGCTACTGATTTTAAATGATTCATTATTCATGTTAAGTCTTCTGTGAATCTTTTCTTTTAATATGGAGGTAAATAAAATACTTTCATAATTACATTTGTACAACTGATATGACGATAATTAGTGACGTCGTTCCTATCACTTTGTGGATTAATAAAGTTCTTCCACTTACCATGTCTAATGGGATGTTTTCAGGGAAGTTCAACCATTCATTAAAGATATTGAGAATGATTTCTCTTGATGATGACATTCTTTTCAAATAATACAAATATATAGTGTCTATTCCTGGTGTTTTCCAGTTACTTATTCTCATTATACTTAAATTTAATTCATTTAATGTTATAATGACATTATCATAATTTCTATATCTTTCATTCCACGAGGTGATTTGTTTTATTTTCCATTTCTCTTTATTTAATATCACATGTGTTTCATATAACATTTCATTTATTCTAAAGTAATATCGTTATTTTTGTATATTTCATTGTTTTGTCTTTCTTCCTTATTTTAATTTTCTTATTAGAATCAAACATGATTTTATTTGTATTGATTCTGATTATTTCATTTTTATTAAATTTAATTCTTTCTTTGATCATTGTCATCATATATTTTATGTATTTTATTCTTTCTAGTGCTTTGACTTTTATTCCTTCTTCAGAATATTCATTTAATTTCATGTTGCATTTTATTCTCTACAATTTCATTGACTAAATCTTCTATTCTGTTAATTTTCTTTATATTTCTTTTATTTCATCAAATTTATCTCTTATTATTTTATTTTGGAGATAAAGGTGCATATAAATTTAAATATTCATATCATCTTGCAGATTCTATATTATGCTTCTTGATATTATCCATCTATTATTAATTTCCATTATTAATTCGTCAGTTTCTTTTCTTTGAAAGTAGTAATTAATGTTTGAACATTTTTCTACTTTCATTTATTTTATTTTATTGATGAGAGTGTTAAGATATTCTTCATCAATTTCTGTAGAGTTATTCTTTAATATGTTGTTTTTTATTATTGAATTACACTCTACTCTTCTATTATATCATTTACTTTCATTTTAATGTGTTATTTAGTATTTTCTTTTATTTTATATGACATTTTATTATATTTAATATATTCATTTTCATTATTTACATTGATGTTTATTACTTTTATTATACTTTCAATTTGTTCCCATCTTAATTTCTTATATAATTTCTTATTTAACCAATTAATTCAAAACAATACAACACTTCAATTAAAATTCTATTTCATTCTTTTGTTGTATTTCTTGTATTTTCATCTCTTGTTTTTTTTGTCAATCAGTTCTTTGTTTTTTTTTTCTTCTACTTCAACTACCATCTTTTTCATTGGATTAATTATTAATTTACATTATTCTCTTTTTATTGTGATGTGAATGTTTTTTTTTCTATTTCATCTTTTTGTTGCTTATTTTTATTTTTTCATATTCTACTTTTTCAGTTTACTTCATATTTTTATATTTTCAATTTATTTCATTTCTCTCAAACATTTTATACTTCTTTTTTTTTGTATCTTTATTATCACTATATATACTCATATTTTCTTTTTCTTAATGTTCTTTTTATTCACTATTTTTGTTTTTATTGTTACTTCTTTTCCTATTTTAATATACATTTTAATCATATTTCCTCAACATCATATCACATTGAATATTTTTTTTCATACTTGTGTTTATTTATAAAAATCAATAATGTAATTTATTAATAATGTTAATAAACATTGTTATATTGTTTGAATAGAAAAGATCTTCCAAACAACTAAAGCCAATAATATAAAAACTGAAATTAGTTTAACGAATATTCATTAATATAAACATAAGAAACGTAAAAGTGTATTATTTTGATAATAAAAATGTTGTTTTATTATTATACGATGAGAATGAATTAATAAAATATTTGAGTTTTAATTATCATTAAGTGTCTAGAAATAAGTCAGTGTATTTTAGTGTATTTTATTTGAATAAGTAAATTATTAAATAAAAGCAAGACTAAATAAAAAAAATTACTCTTTTTTAGAAGTTAATAAAAGCAAAAAAAGACATGAATTTGAATCAACAATATTTGTTATAAGATATTTTATTAACAGAGTAATTGTTAACATGACTAAGAATAACAAAAAGAAAGAATAAACATTGAATAGAATAATTATAGTTCATGATATAATAAATTTTAAAGGTTAGATAAATGTTTAACAATAAGTGATTTGATACTGAATAACTAACAAGTATAGAAACAAACAATAATTTGTTTATTTTTATTCATTTCTTATTTAATACTATTTATAATTGAAAGAATTAATAAAATATTGTAGTTTGGAAATAACAAACAATAAGGATAAACAAATAAAAATATAGATGAGATATTTATTTAATTATATTTTGGTTTAAACTGATAAGCACAGAATTGAAGAATGATGATATTTGATTGTTTATTATTCTCTATTTGTTCATAAATTATTAAGAATGTAATGAGTTACAAACTAATGCTAATAAACAATATTATCGGTGTATTAGAAATAAACATATCATAATAGTTTTAATAAAGTATTAAAGAAGTTATTAAAATAAACAACACTAATTAAATAGTAATGTTCAAATAAAAGACGTTACAACAAAAGTTATCATTGTAGTTGAGGTAAACAAAAGCTTTTAATGTAAAAAAAGTTACATTACTATGAAATGATTAATTAATACCTCTTTCTTTTAATAAATATATAATAACAAAAGTTAATGATGTTTATTAATATGACAGAGAAGTAGTAAATAAAAAGGAAAAACTCATTTTAAATGAAAAACAATCAAAAAAATATAATTTTATAAAAGAAACAACTCCTTTAAAATGAAAATAAATTCTTTTTATTTTAATTACCATTCAAAACTTTCTTACAACTTTTGGTATGTAAAACAACCACATTTATAGATAGATAATGATATTATAAAAAATATACAAAGAGATAAAACAGAATCAGATTTTTGTTTTTCGAAGTTAATAATAAAAAAAAAAGAAAAATTTTGAACTTAGAAAATTAATTGACAAGGAGCTTTATGACAAAATTGTATTTCACTAAAATCAAGAATGGGGTGATAACTGACCTTTCATTTAATGTAAAAAGATTATCAACTTCATTTGGTTCAGAAGAAACAGATGTTCGAATAGCAAATACTCTTCCACATCATTGCGATTTTATATTACAAAACAAAGAAGATGATCATGGATTTCTCTTAAACTTTAGTAATCGGAATGATGTAACTGTGAACCATTGTATTGTTCCATATTTTTCACAATTTCAATTACTTTCGAATAGTGTAGTTCAAGTTGCTAATGCTTTGTTTTATTTTTCAAAAGATAAACCAACAGCAATATCTCAAAGTATTGTAGATGAATATTTTAAAACAAATGAAAAAATCACTGTAGAAGACGCATTTAAAATGGATGAAGAAATAAATAAAGAAGAGGTTCAAACACCAAATAAAAAAAAGTCAACAATAATTTTACCGACACCAGACACTCAACAAATTGAAATTAAAAAAGAAGATGCAGTTGTTCAAACTATACCAAGTGAAATACCAATAATGGAAACAAAAGCGAGAATTATTAATGACAGTCCAATAAAACATAAATCAAAAAGGATTTCAAAAAGAAGTTTAGATTCTTCAGAAGATGATTCTTCAGAAGATGAACCAAAAAGAAGACATCACCGAAGAAGAAGAAGATATTCAACGTCAGACTCATCAAGCGAAGAATCATCTTCTTCTGAGGATGACAGAAGAAAAAGAAAAAGAAAACATAAAAGATCTCATTCAAGACATTCAAAAAGAAAACACCATAGAAAAACAAAAGATAGTTTTTCATCTTCAGAAGAAGAAGAACAGCGTAGAAGAAGAAAAAGAAAAGAGAGAAAAAGATATTCAAGAAGTTCATCTAGATCTTCAAGAACATCAAGTACATCAACTTCAGAAGAAAGACACAAAAGAAGAAAAACAAAGAAAATAGAACAAATGTCAGAACATGTAATAGAACCAGAACAAGTACAAGTAATAGAACAAATGTCAGAACAAGGACTAAAAAAACAGAAAACAGCAGATTTAATTAAAAAAGAATTAATTGAAAAAAAAGGACAAATTATTAAAGAAGAAGAATTACTTGAAAAAGAAGTTAAAGAATCAAGAAATAAAAGAGATATGCCAAGAGCTTTTAGTAAATTTTTAGCAAGAAATACTTTTTATTTTGGAAGTAATGAACAATTAATGATAAAATATGAACAAACTATTAAATCATTTGGAGGAAAAACAGAATTAGGATATCCACCATTTCAAAGACATGTTATTCCAGAGTTTGATAATAGTGATGGATTTTTCCATGGATATGATTATAGTGAAGATTTAAGAGGAACATTTTTAGTAACTGAACCTAACAATGAAGGACCAACAATTCCATACTTATTATGTATTATATGTCAAGTCCCAGTTATATTACCAAATTATTTTGATACAATTAAAGAAAAAAAAGAAGATCAAAATTTAATGGAATATTTAGCTCCAACATTCCCAAGTGAACTTAAAATACATGGCAAAAAACAACAACCTTATATCTTTCATCCTGCAAATGACTCTAAAAAAGATAAAATTAGAATGCAAGTTCCTTCAAAATATGGCTCTAATGAAAAACAATTGATTGAATGTTTCTTAACTGCAATAGGATGTCGTATTGTAGATAGGCAAATTGCTGCTTCTTCTCCTAATACAAGTAATGATGGAAAAGACCATACTGTGTATACTTTTGTTCCTTTAATTGAATCAAATGTTGTTGATTTAAAAAGAAAATCACATAGTTCACGTATTAGTGAGATTGTAATTGAAGAAGTAACAATTTATATGGATTGGGTAATTGAAATGTTAAAAGTTGATAGATTTATTTATCCAAAAGATTATTTAGCTTCTAAAACAGCACATAACTCAGAAGAGCAAAATGAATTTGATAATTTCTAATTTAATTTTAGATTTTTATTTTTATATTTAAAATAAAATAAAATGAATTAAAAATCAATAATTAAAACTATGTTCATTCTTTCTTTTAAAAAGATGCTAGTGTAAATTAATTGATTTTTCATATTACTTTCTAATTTTGTTAATTTAACATATATTAGAAGCATTTAATTGGAAAGAGAATCAAGAGAAGGATCCTTTTTATTTGTTGATAGTTCAGTATTACAAATATCAAGGTTCCAGTTAATAAGAATATGATGAATTTGATTAAATGTAAGTCTATCTTCAGGGTCTTGAGTCCAACATTGATTGATTAAATTCCAATAATTTTCTGGAATATCATTTGGTTTTTCAAGTCTATGACCTTCAATAACAAATTGAGGAATTGTCCAAGGTTGAATAAATCGTTCATCATCAATATATGCTTGTTGTTCAGTAAACGTTTCATAAAGTATTATAGCAAATGAATAAACATCAGCACTATAAGAATAATTACTATTTGCTAAACATTCAGGTGCCATATAAGTTGGAGTTCCAATTCCATGAGATAATGGTTGTAGTTGAAGAGCTCTTTCAGAAATATTTCTACAAGTACCAAAATCAGTTAATTTACCACAAACTTGAGAATGTGGGTTTAATGAATAAATTAAAACATTTTCACCTTTAACATCTCTATGAATAATATTATTTTCATGTAAAAATGCAAGTCCAACAACAATATCTTCCATAATCTTAATTTTTAAATCAAAAGGTAATAATTCTTTTTTATATAATTTAGAAAGTGATCCATAATCTGCAAATTCTGTTACAATTGATATTTCTCCTTCTGTATAAACAGCTCCAACTAAATTAACTATACATGGATGTCTATATTGTGTTAACATATTAACTTCATGTTTAAATTCTTTTTCTTGTTCTTCAGTTAATGTTCTTGCTTTCATTTTTTTTACAGCAACTTTTTGACCTCTATAACTTCCTATAAAAACCATTCCAAATGCACCTTCACCTATAGCAGGCATTTGAAGTTTTAATTCAGTATGATCTAATTTAGTTGATAAATCAGATTCAATAATAATAGAAATTTTAGCAGTTTCTTTTATTTCTTCATCTAAATCCATTGCAATAATACCAATTTCATCATTAACAACAGCAGTACATATCATTTTAATTTTAAATTTAAGTTCAACTGCATAATCAGGTTTTAATGTAAATCTCATTGGTTCTACTGAAAGTTCATATCTATGAGATGCTCCTAATAGTAGTTCAAAGAAATATGTTTTCTTTGTTGGGTTTATTATTTTAATAGTTTCTTCATATAAATTATCAACAATAACTTTTGATCCTGCATGTTCAAATGTTAGTTTCCATTTATCTGTTTTTAATGGGAAATTAGCATTATCAGCTGAAAGAAGAGCCATTTCCACACCACCACTTACTTTAAATGGTTTAATCTCTTTTTCTCTTTCTTTAATAATTTTTCTACGTCTTCTCCAAATTAAAAAGATGATAAAACAAATAATAATGACAATAAAAAGAAGACCAATAACTATTAATGAGATGATTAAACCAAGCCTTACTTTCTTACATAAAAGTCTATCAGATGTTTCTGAATATCCATCTTCACATTTGGTACATCCTTTTTCGTTACATTCTAAACAATGTTCTATAGTACTACATTCAAGACATTTATTATCTTCTTTAGACAAATATTGTGTATTTGGACTACATTTAGTACATCTTGTAATATTATTTTTTAATTCACATTCATAACATTCTGTTGGACATGGAAGACATTCTCCATCATTTAAATAAAAACGAGAATGACATGATATACAACCAGATGTAGTTATTTTATCTGAACAATTTGATAATGAAGAATGTGTTAGATTGCTAGTAGAATAACATAAACTTTGGGTATCTAAAGAACTTTCTGAAGGACGTCTCCACCATAATGCATTACCTGTTTTAGGATCAATAGTGGAGTTACATGTTTGACAAGATTTGTCAGATAAACAAGTATCACAAGATTCATCACAAACTTTACAATCAACACCTTGAAGAAAATATTTATCATCACATTGAACACAATATCCCATTTCAGTTTTTTTGCAAATACTAGGCATTTTAACACATTTATAAATATCATTATAAACACCAAAATCTTCAAAATATTTTATTGTTGCTTCAGTATCTTTTTCAAGAGAATATCCAGCATTACATCCAGTACACCAATTTGGATTTTTATCACAAATACGACAAGTAATATTACACATTTTACATGTTGGTTCATAACTAATTTCTCGTTTTGATGTAATTGAATAAGGTAAATAATATCCTAATTTAAAAGAAGTATCAATTGGTACATTAAATTTTAATGCATCAGTTTTATCTAATGATTCATTATATGGAACATCATATTTACATTGTAAACAACCATATTGATCACCAACATTACAAATTCTATTATTTAATTTATTACAAATACCATTAGAAACATCAGTAAAATAATAATTATCATTACATCTAAAACAATATGAATCTGATTTACATAATTTACATTGAACTGGACATTGTTTACATTCACCTTCATTTCCTAAATAATAACCTTCTTTACATTCAACACATCCCATTGTATTACTTGAACGTAAACAATTTATATCATTTTTACATTCTCCATTAATTAATGATAATGTACTATTACATTCAATACATTCTTTTTCATTTATACATCTTTTACATCCATCACTACATTTAACACACATTCCTTTTTGAACAAAATAATTTTCTTCACAAAGTTCACATTGATTTCCATAATAATTTCCTGATGTACAATGTAAAATTGAAACACATTCACTATTTGGATCTGTTGGATCTTTTAATGCTTTATCCCCTTTACAAAGATAACAATTATCTTTTGTAGTACATCTCTCACAACCATCTCTACATTCTTTACATGAAAATGTTTCAATGTCAAAATATTTTCCTAATGGACATTTACCACATTTATCATCATTTTCTTCATTTGTACAATCAATACATTCTTGTTTCTCTTTTCCATCACTTCCTATTATTTCATAAAGCATATATCCTTCTTTACATTTAAAACATTTATCTTTTGTACATTTCTCACAATTCTTTACATTACATGAATTACATTTCATTTGTTCTATATAATATCCTTCTTTACATTCTACACAATATAATCCATCCCATGTTTTACATACCTCTTGAAGACCAGCTTCTCTTTGTGCACATCCATAATTCTCATTAAGATAATATCCTTCTCTACATGAAGTACATTTCGTATCACTCCAACATGTTAAACATTGTTGACTACAACTTTTACAAACTCCTTCATTTTGACTCCAATACTCATTCGTTTTACATTGGAAACTTCCATTTGATAAGCTTGCAAATATTAAAAATATTATCATTTGATTTTTATAGTTTTTTTTTTAGTTTTGTATCATTTGGTTTTTATAGTTTTTTTTAGTTTTGTATCATTTGGTTTTTATAGTTTTTATAGTTTTTGTTTTGTTGTTTTTTGTTTTTATAATTTTTGTTTTTATAATTTTTGTTTTTTGTTTTTTGTTGTTTATAGTTTTTGTTTTTTGTTTTTTTTTTCTTTGTTATTTTTAAAAATAAAAATTCTTCAAGTAAGTTAATTCTTTTGTTTATATTTCTATTTTTATTTTAACTTTCTTGTTTCTCTTTTATTCTTCTTTTTCTTTCTGATTCTTTTTTCCTCTGTATAAAAATAAATGATAAACGTAAATGAAATGAAAAGGCATGTATTTAAAAGAAAGAGAATGAAACATTACTGAATTAAAGGAAATTCAACCAACATATTTGTAATTCTCCTTTTTATAAAAATAAATACACAATATCCAACTTTTTAAATCAAAAACTTCTTTTCGACGAAAATCAATGGACATACCTAACAACACAATGAACCACAACCCCAAAAAATCAATTATTTTATCAACCTCTAGTCAGCTAGAAACACAATGCTATGAAGAGCATTTAAAATGTACGTCATGCCAATCTACCCCTCGTGAAAAGGATGTAACTCCTCGTGATTTCTTTGTTGAAACAGAAATTGCCTCAATTATTAAGAAAGTAAATCACGTTGATTATATTAGTGGAATAAATGGAAAAGAATGCTGCACAACAATTGTCGATATGGAAAGAAGTTGTAACCCTCCTCTTTAGACTCTCTGTTTATGCTTTATTTAATTATTCTTTCAAAGAATATATAATTTATCATTTTGAATAGCAACAAAAAGATTTTCTCACCCTTCGTTCAAAAAGAAAGTCTTTCTAATGTTGTTAAATTTTTTGTTTTTGATTTAAAAAAATCTTTGCAGATAAACTAAAAAAATTTTTCTTTAATTTAATCAGGAGGAATGAATAACTTATTAATAGGGTGTAACTCAAACAAAAAATCTATAACCCCTCTTCTCCCAATTTTTTCATGACTCTTAAAAATGTTCAAAAAAAAACACAATAACAATTAAGTACGCCAACCTTAAACAAATTAAATGGTACATTAAGACAATTAAATATTTAATTACATAATTGGGCGTTTAGTAGACAAAAGATGTTGCACCCATAATTATCACCATTATAATTATGGTAATAATTGTATTAATTATTTCATTCATCAATATATTCAATTATATCTTATAATTATTTTAATATCAATTTTAAAATATATAATGAAGAAGTTATTAGTATAATGACTGAATGAATGCAATTAAATAATTGAGTTTAAGTGACAAGCTGTTTGAATACCAATAAAGCAATATAAAACCTAAAAAGGAGTAAAAAGATAATAAAATGACTTATAGTAAATTTAAGATAATAATTTACTTATTATTATTACTCATTCCATAAAGGAATAATACAAAATATTAACCAATAAAATAAGAAAGATAAATAAACGTAAAATAAAATAATACTATTTAATAACACAGAAATAAAAAAGAAATTAACAATTATAAATATAAAAAATAGAAATTAAATTTAATATTGAAACATTACAACAGAAATAATTAATGTGATATTAACAATTAATTAATCATGTAAGCAAATAATTTTAAATGTTCTAACTACTTGAAAATTAAAATTAAATTTCAATATAGTATAAAAAGATTTGAAATATCAAAGACTTAATATAAATCAGTTAAATACTTAGAATGTATTAAGTATATAAATAACAATAGAAATAAAACATATTTAATTCAATAAGCCTACTATTTATCAATATTTATAATATAAAATTTTTAATATCATGAATTTTTATTAATTGATCTTTAATATTCTTTTTATTATTTTATATAATTCCTTTTATTCTATCTTATTCTTTTACACAGCATTAATAATTTATCATTTAATATTTTTTTTCATTTAAAGTTTAGTATATCTATCTTGTTTTGAATATTCGATTTATTTTAAAATCTTTTTATTCAATATGGTATTTGTTCTATTTTATTCATAAAGTCTGTGATGAACAAAATACAATAAATCAATAAAAGTTATAATGAATATGACGATTATAAGAATCAGATAAAGAATTATAAGAATAAGAAAAGGATATAAAAGTATGGAAGTTATATGAACAAATGAAATAGAAGATATTAGAATGGAAAAAGAATATACAAAATTGATAATATAATACATTTGAAATAAAACAATGAAGAAAGAAGAAGATAATAAAATAATAGAAGAAAAATATAAAAAAGAAAATATATAAAGGCAAAGAAAAAAAAAGCAAATAATAGAAAAAGAGGAGGAAGAAAGATATAAAAGAATAAAAAGAAATCAAGAAGTAGAAGATGATGAAAGAATTAAAGTAGAAAGTAGAAGAAGACAAAAAGAATATAAAGAGTAATAAATCATAAAGAGGTAATAAAAGAAGAAAAGAAGAAATAAAAAGTGTACTTTTATTGTAAAAATTAGAAATATTCAATAAAAAGTGTCTAATTTAATGATGTAAAATGATTGGTATTGTTTTATTATTGAAAAATATTTTATTCTTTTTTATGTTTATTATTTATGTGTATAACTTCATCATGATGTTTATTATATATTCAATCATATGTGTTATGTTATTATAACATATAATAAGTGATAAAATATAAATGAAAATGATATGAATATATGATATAGAATATAAAACAAAAGAATAATAAGAATAAATGGTAAATAAAAGGAGAAATGATA